GGCTGCCTCAATTATTTCACCAATAATTATGCAATTCACGGGCTGAAATGGTTCACATGCATGCATCAATAATTGATGCATGAAGCAGCTGATTTCACGTTGCAATTGCAGCTATGATGGTTGCAGCGGGGAGCAGGAGGGGACGACATGCAACGGGGAGTAAGAGGAGACGTGCAGAAATATCACATGGCCATGCAAGAGGAGACAATGGTCGCTGGGAGTGCATGGCGACCTACAAGGTCTCCCGGAGGGCATGGCGACTTATGGGTTGGGTTGTGCATGTGCCATGCAACACGTTCATGCACACGTTCATTCTCTCTGTGAGTTCGTCGGGAAGCTGCCACGTCGTAGGTCACCCGGAAGGCATGGCGACCTACGGCCAACACTGTTCATTTCGCCCTATTTCAGCAATTAATCTTGGGAGTACATTATCTCGTGAAATAAAAAGTTCAAGAAAATTATCTCGAGAGTTTTACCTTTTAAAAATAGATAAAAAGTTTTATGGTTCTCCTAGCTTGAACCTGTGACCTGCCAGCTAAGCCTTAGCCATTTGGTTAGGCTACTGTAGCTGATAGATTTGACTAAAAATATATTTTTTTCAAAGTTAAAATCTTGGTTTAACCCTTGCCTTGGTTCAATTTGTTTTCCCCGTGAAAAATCCTTTCCAGAACTGAACCCTCTACTTCAAGTCCGTTCATCGATCTCCTGCTAATGGTGTACACCGTCACCACCACCTTATTCCCCACCGTTCCTCAATTAAAAGCCCTCTGTTAATTTTCTGAAAGTCGAGGTAGATCATCATGAAAAGCCCCGAGAAGCTTAGTCGAAAACCTAAAACCTCAAGTTTATTTCTTATCTGATTCTGGATGCTACAGGCGACTGTAGGTTGCGTCGCCACCACCAATCAACTCGCCATCTCAGCCCGGTCAAAACCCTAATAACCTCGCTTTGGTTGGCCCCACCGTTTACCGTGGATATTGTGTTGAATGTTCATAGAAAAATAAAGGTTCTCCCTCTGCCTTTATCATTTTTATGTCGATCTCGTCATCGATAAGTCTCACCGCCAATGCCATTGAGTTCTCCATACTATTTCGACCAAAATCTAGCTAGGATCACTCCATTCCGTCGCATCTTTCGTCGTCCATTGGGGGTAAACCTCTATTTCATTTTTAGATTATTTCATAACATTTTGGGTTGTATTATGAGTAGATTTGGGTTGATTATTGTGTTTGGTTGCTTCTCGTTTAATAGGTCGACGTCTTCGTTAGTCGTCGCATGTGCCAGCACGCGCTAGTTTCGCATGTGGGTGTTGTTATGTCGAGTCTTCTGGTTGACTGAGTCAACTCGCCTGAGTCAGTTTACTCAACTCAGATTGAGTCAGCCTGTTGACCTTTAACCTAAACTATTGATTGTTAACCAAATCGTTGACTTTGACTTTGACTTTGACCCGTTGATCATTGATTTTGACAAAAAAAGTTAACTTTTCTAAAAATGGCATATTTTATGTTTTTCGGCATCCTGAGTCTGAATCAAAAGTTTGTTTCACCAAATACGAACCCGTTAAGTTGTTTTTCAGTATTTTAATTTCCAATTTGAATAATTTTCCCGATTAAGTTTTGTTTCTGATATAATTTGTTTTTCCATGGATCTGAGATATCATGGGAAATTGAAATTAAGTTCAAGGGTGATCTAATGGAGTTTAATTGATTGATTGATGTGGAATGAATATTGAGGTAATACTATTATACCTTATGCACGCTTTACGGTACATGTTGGTAATTGACTAATGCATGATTTAAAATGTTTAGTCAAGTAAATCCTTATGAATATTCTTAAATTCGTACTAAATATGGTAAAAAGATATTAAATTGGTTAAGACTTGAACTAAATATGGTATAAAGTTGGTATATTGAATAAGACTTGGATGACTTGCATAAAGAATTAGAAGACAGATAGGAAAGAATTTCAAGATCTGTTCAGCCAGGACTCTGAAGGTGATCAATTTAGTTATCGCAGTCAGTGTTAGAAAGTAAATATTCGTAAAATATATCGATATGAATAATTACCACGTATCGCACTATTGGGGTTTTTTCAATACAAGTTGACGATATCTTGATAAATCAACTTGAATCTTGAATATCGTACATCATCGTATCACCCCGATTGGATTACGTTACCAAGAATTCTTCAGGAATCAAAATGTCAAGAATGGCCCTAATGGTCTGAATCTTGAATCTTGAATATCGTACATCATCCTGTTACACACGAATCATAATTAGTCATGAAACACCATTTTTTTAATATTGATTATATATGTTAACGAATGAACCCCTTAATAGGTACCTCGATTATGAAATTTGACCAATCTACAGAAGTCTCACGTTTTCCCTCCCTCATAACTACCCGAAAAATACAAAAATCCTCTAGTGCGTTCCCTATGAAAAAATATGTTTTCTCTAATTTATATAATGTATGATTTCTTATATCTGGTTTCTGATTACTGGTTTCTGATCTCTGATTTCTGATTACTGGTTTCTGATCTCTGGTTCCTTATTTATGATATTAATGTCTCTTATCTAATATGTTTTTTTGGGGTATTATCTGGGTAGGTGTCTGGAGACTCTGAGGTTCAACTAGTTGGTAATTCATTTCTGTTCTGATCTTCCATATTAGACTCTTAGATCCTAGGGGTCTAGTGTAAGTCTTTATGGATGCATGTTTTGGGGATTTACATTTGGTGTACGGTTGGAGGCTAGTTATGTGTTTAAATATAAAAAAACCCTATTTATGGTTTCTATTTTCTGATATATAATATATCTGGCTCCCAATCTTTGATATTATTGGTTTCTGTTAAACTGATTTATAGTGGGGTATTAATTGGGTAGGATGAAGTCTCTGAGGTTCAGCTAGTTGGTAATTCCTTTATGTTTTGATCTTCTATATTGGACTCTTAGATCATAGGGGTCTAGGCCAAGTCCTTGTGGATGCTTGTTTTGGGGTACTCATATGGTGTATGGGTGAAGGGTAATACAGTGATTTTAAAAATATGTTTTACTAAAATAAATTACTACTATTTTTAAACTATGATTACATTTTATTATGGTTTTGAGGGAACACACTAAACGTCTATTTTTAATCTCATAAACCTAATCCTCTGAATGTTTCCTCTTAATTGTAAGCTTCTTGTCTTTTACCTGAAGAAATATCAGTGGAACCTCAGCTCATCATAAAAACCTAAAGATGCCTGAACCAAATGAGAAAATTTTTGTGTTTGTCTTTTATATGCATGTCCTTTAGATTCATATGGTAGTTCTTTATTACTAAGCTTCTCAAAGCTAACTCTTTTACTCACCATTTCAGGTTAAAAATATTGATTCAGTATAGCTATCGACTTCAGTAATGTAAGTTCCTTCGGCTTTTCTTGTAGAATACGGTACATTGTAATTAGGGGCATGTAGGTCACATTTGATTTTTATATTGAGTATGAAACTTGTATGATTTTAATTATGTTGGTAATATATAAATGGTTTTCTAAACTTGTATTTTATTTATAAATTGTTTTATGATTTTACATGTTTTAACAAAAATTTTAATTTTTTTCGAATTTTAATGGGCCACTCCAGTGGCCCTAATGTGACACCTCGGATCGAATCAAGTCACCCGCATCGGTCAGGGGGTATTACACTTTGTATTAAGTTTATTGATATATTTTAGGCTTAAGGGTCACATTTGTTAGTAGACCCAATTTATCATTTTCAACCCTATTGTATTTTCACACCAATTTAACCCTCAAAATTGTTTAATTGCATCATTATATATCCTTTCACTAACTTAAACCCTTAAATTATAAACCCTAAGTTATTGTTTATGGTTTATGTTTTAGAGGTAATAAGGTTATGGTTTAGGATTTATAAATTAGAGTTTTAAGTTAGAGGTAGGATATAAAATGATGCAATTGAGTAACTTTAATGACTAAATTGATGCAAAAAATACGATAAAGATAAAAATAATAAATTACGTCTAAAATAAGGGCAAAAGTTACCTTTTTGTCTTTATTTTAAATGTAGTGAATTGAAATAGATTAATGAATATAACGAGATAAACATTTGACCCTAATCCAATAATTTGTGATCCAACCCTACTTTACAGGGTTTTTCTTTTTAAAAAAACCAAGATTAGGTTACCTTTTTTGAAGGGTAATGTCGGGTTGTGTTGGATTCAATTTCAGAGTCAAAAATATCTGGTCGATTCAATCAAAAAATAATATTATAATTGATTTTTATATATTTAGGGATAATGTTTATAAAATCCATCTATATATATTAATTATGTCTTTATCTTACCTGATAAAAATGAAAATATATGTATATTGGGTAGAATTGAATCAGGTGTGGATATTTACCTTAAAAATTAATTCAAATTTTATATCAGATTAATTTTCTTAAACTCGGATCAAGTAGTAACATATAAAAGAATATTATACTCGAATCAGATTTGAGTAGATTAAAATCTAACTCGATATGATCAGATTTGAGTACGAAAACCTAACTCGATATGATATGATGATCTGTAAATATAATAACTTTAGTTTCAGGTTGAAGCAAGTAAAGGGGAAAAAAGGAGTTGCAATGTTTGACCATGCCACCACGTATACCCTAACTAGAATGGCGACGTTGTTAATGCAGGGCAGGATTTTTGGTCATTTTAGCCAAAAGCTAGGTAACTGCTTTTGACTTTAGCGTTCCTTCTGTCTTTTCTTGTACCATTTACACAATTGAGCAATCTCCACATTCACACACACAAAAAGAGCTATCTAAGAATAAGTAAATCAATTTAGATCATACCTAATTCATTTATTGTTAAAGGTGCTCTTCACTTTTTTCCTTTGCGTGAACGTTGATTAGTGGAATGTCATTGTCTATCCAGTTAAAGGAAAAATGACTAATCAGAAATAATCTCCTTTAATCATATAATCAAAATTAAAGTACAAAACCCCAAGGAAGACGACAAGCGTAAATAATTGCAGCCTCTAAGGACAACAACAAATTAAAGACTATAATACCATTAATCAACCAAAAAGGAAAAGAAAACCCTTTTTTTTGCTACTTCATTTCCCTTTGCCCGTTTGAAAATACAAGACAACTTGTTCGTTTTCCTCTTCATTGTCTCCTTATATTAGGGGCATTGATCCTTATATTAAGGGGGGGGGGGACATTCACCTACAAATATACTGGAGCCCTTTGGCAAATTGTTTTGTAATGAAATCTTCTTCTTTTTCCCCGGAAAATCCTCATGATGTAATCCGGTTTTGGATCAATGCTTGATTCCAAATCAGCCCGTTACTATAGGACAAAGAAGAAGAAGAAAACCGTCATAATCCTAGAAGAATGTAGTACACCAGTGTAATTGGTAATGCTATCAACATCCCAAAGATGACCCTGCAAAATTGCAATTCGAGATATCGGTTTCAGTTTTGTATGAAATTCGTGTTCGACACATATTTCGAATTTTGTATGAGTCGATTCGGTGTCTACTTACGCAGTGCTAAGAATTGCAGGGTGAACATTGTACTCCTTGGCGAACACAAAGGGTACAATTCCTTGTGGCAAAGCAGCCTGTTAATTACACCAAAGGTTTACTTGAATCGATTGTGACATTCAAAGAAGCTAACACGGTTATGGAGGGAACGTGAGTTTTCTTTTTTACCTGAACAATGGCGATGCGGAGGAGGGTGCCACGCAACCCTACTGCGATCGAAGCAGCAGCCATGACGGCCGGGCCGGTCAAGAACCTAACTGCCATGGCAAAGGTAGCTACTGAGTTTCCACAAGCGATCAACTTTGGTTGCAGAGCCATAAACAGACCTTTTCACCATGTCAAAAAAAGGATCAACAATTAGGACTTCCCCAGGGATACGATCAATATCGATTACGGAAAAGTTCTTACCTAAACTAAACATGGCCATTCCTAGTCCGGCATCTGACAAGATGGAGATAGATTTCTCTAATATTTTCGGCATATTCACATGCCACCTGCAATTAAGAACACAAATCAGTAAATTTCCAAAAGAATGGGGTACTTGGTGAACGAAGTTCGAATCAACTCACCTGAAAGCAACAAGGGACCAAACCAGTCCAATGATGCTGGAATACGTGTTGGGGTTTCGGATAAGCTTGCGCCAAACCATGATCAAGATCAATCGGGTCATTACACTGGCCGGAGGCATTTGTTTGCCAACACCAGAAGGTGCTCCAGTGGCGGCCTTAGGGTGGAGCACCGCTGTTGAATTGGACATCAACTTATTGACTTGGTTCGGCCCTTCTTTATCTCTCTCACCTTCCCCATCTCTTCTTCCAGAGAAGTTAAAGTTCTCTCCATTGAAGTCACCACTGCATGTCATAGCTTCACACCAAAAGCACATTTTTTTATGAAAAAAATCGATGCAAGTCGGATGAATGAATGAAATTTTATATATACCTTTGTTTTCCCCGTTTTGAGGGTGATCGGAAACCAACATCCTGATCTCTTTAGCACCATGATCAGACCGTCCAGATTGCTCGGACTCCGTCCCACCAAAGACGTGCAATCCATCGCCTTCCGATACCGGCAAAGCACTGGAACTCCACACAAACATGTGCAGTTCCTTTGCATCATGATTCACTTTATTATTCTCCTGCTGCAGCTGGGACTGGCTATTTTTACTTGTGTTCTTCGTGAGGGACGAAAATTCAGGATTCGGAGCAGGGTACGATGAAGGCGCCGAATGTGCTGGATAAAACCCGATTCGTGGAGAGACGACCGTACAATTCTCTTCAAAATTCGACGGTCTTGGAGTTGGTCCTCTCGATGATTGAACCGAGTACAAATCAGCTGAACCGAAATTAGATTGTCTTCCAGGAAATCCCATCATTGAATAAAAGTCGGAGTTGTTGAAATTCGAGCCTCTCGGAGTCGGATTCCGCGACGAGCTCAAGCTGTATATCTCGGCACCGGTGAGATTCGATGGCCTCGGTGTCAATGCCGGAAGCGAGCAAGGCCCCAACGACCTCCTTGACGCATTGGATTTCCTCACCACAATGTGCAGCTTCCCGTCTTCGCCGATTTCAGCGTCGGTTTCGAGGAAATCACGTCCGTCTAGCGAAACCACATCGGAATCGACTTTAAAGGAAACAATGGAGCCCGCGGTTTCCGGGAACTGCTCCATGATGAGTAATTTAGCACCACGATACTCGAAGAGGAAAAGAAGCAGAGTGTACCAAATAATACACTGGAGCACCACGACTTGAACCATTAACATCCCCGAGTACTTCCCGTACATGGCGATCAAGAGTGGAATTCCCATGACCAGAGTGTTGGGAAGAGTGGATAGCGAGAAAATGGTAATCATCCATTCGAGGCTTCCATTTTTAGTGAAATTAGCCCACAAGGCGAGCACGAACAGCATGATGAGTTTCTGAAGAGTATCGGCCGCTACGAACTTGAAGTTCATGGCGTAAGGGTCGTTGGTTGAAATGAAATGGAAAGACAAGAGAGGAACGGCGAATATAGCAACAAATCGATTGATTCCCGAACACTGGGCGGGTGAGAAAATCTTCCACCAACGAACGGAACCGTAAGCTAAGATCATAGCTACGTATAGTGGAATCACCGCCGTTAAAACGGTGTAAAGATCGCCCCAACTGATCATCTTTCTGATCACAGTAAATAACTGTAGAAGATCTAGTGGAAGTTAGAGATGACGATAATGGAAGGGTAAAATGGGGACTACGAGAAAACCGTTGCTCCTCAAAGAGGATGAAATCTGTGTTTCTTTGACTACAGCCTGCTGCTCGTTGAGACTTGTTTCATATACTGCAATTTTTCCTCCATATATATATATATATATATATATAACATGGGTGACGAAGCTAGAGATATTTGGGAAGAAAGAAAATAAGAGAAGAAAAATATACTTTTAGCAGAAAGATGTAATAAAATGTAAATATATATAAGGTGGAGAGATAGGGAAGGAGGGGAATCATATAAAGTGCAGGGACAGAACCGGAATAATATGAAAGAATAATGAGGAGAGGGATCAAATTAATATCTTTTCAAAAAATATTAATTAATTTCATGTTATTATCATTAATTTTATTCGAATTTTTTGGATAATCTGTATTTATTACCCAAGAGAATCAGAAAACTGTTATATATGAACAGTAACGTTACAAAGATAACAAACTTTTAAAACAGAAGCCCTTAGCAACTGATAACCAAAAAACCAATACAAGATGATCAATAGAGAGGGAAGCGCTTCAAGATATCACACAATGTTCCAGCTAGCGCAGAGGGCGGCGTTCCTCGAATCTGCTTCGTTGATAGAGCAACCACATAACCTGATTCGTACGACAGCTTTGACATCCTCAACCAAAAATCATTAATTTTATTCGAATTCAATTAAGTTAAGTCCAACAAATCCCAGAACTAATTTTTATTCATTTCTTTAATCAAGCTTTAAGTTCGAGTTTATTTTTTTAATCCCAAACCTAACATAGTTTAACTACAAACAATCTAAATCAATTTGAACTCTAACTCGATTCAATCTTGTACCGACCTGAAAATCTCGAGTTAATATTGAGGGTTGATCCGGGTCAGTAAGGAGGTGAGTCTGGAGATGTTGGGCTGATAGATTTAGTATCGGGCCCTGTTGGTAGTGGTTTGGAGCCCAAAAAGTTTAGTTTCGGGATGACTTTGTAGGAGGGAGCAATTTGGGAGGACCAAAAGTGTAAATTATACATTACAAAAAAAAATTGATTCTTAGGTCTTATATTAGCCTTGCCGTGAGTTAAGGAGAGAGATCTGGGTAACATCATTCCTATCTTACCTTTCAATATTAATAAATAATCAATATAATTTATAATATTTTATTTTAATAAAATATATTAGTTTTAATATTTTTATAAATAGTATTGAATAAATTATTATAATATTTTAAAATGAAAAGTTGTTATAAAAAATATTATTTATTATATTCAATATTTATAATAAATAAATTTTAAAATTTTGTTAACTAATAAAAAGTGATTTACATAACATAATCTCTCTCTCTCTCTTTAGAAGTAACTAACTTTATTCACATTAAGAAATATCTCAAATTAAAATAAAGATTTACTATCACAATAGTAAATTAAACACATGATTTGAAAATTTCGTATAATCATTGAAACAAAACTAGCAACTTAAGATCACAAAAGGATCATACAAGTAAAGATTAAATTTAACCAAGAAACTCATACAAAGATATATACAAACAGATCTGATTGCATCGATAAACGAACCATAAAAGGGGATAAACCTATTGAAAGACCACTGATAAACTGCGAACCAGACTCGAGCGACATGAAAAGTTATCCATAAATGTAAATCGGGTATCTAAATCTAATTCGAGAGTCCAAAGCAAGAAAGATCAACAAGATATCAGATAAGCGCCTTCTTGATCAGTCGTGAAGATGTCAAATCAACCCTTAAAAAAAAGATAAATAAAAAAAGTCAAAGAACCGAAAAAATATGAAAAAAACATAAGAAAATGTAACATCATATGAAAACGTACAATATAAGATAAACTTATTGAAAATCAAAAAACAAAAGAAAATAAAGATATAATATAGAGAAAAAACAATAAAAACAATATCGGTGATTAGCATCCAACATTAAAATTAGTGTCACCGTCAATGAACAAAGACGAAAAAGAAAAGAAATGAGCGATGCACCAATAAGAACAAACTAGGTTTTTTTCTTATAAAAGCACATAATATAATGTCAAACACCATAAAATAATTTTAAAAAAATATAATTTACATTGGGTAAGGATGTATTTATGAGTGGAAGATTTTTTCAAAGTTAAAGATGAGAGAAGAACCAGATTGGATTGAACGTTGTGTGTGTGTTTTATACAGTGTTTTGAAAACCGGACCGGATCGGTTGATTTAACCGGTTCAATCGGGAATCGTTGTTTAGTTCGGTTCAATCTACACTGGTTGAACCACTATTAGTGAACCTACTGGAACCGTTGAACCGTTCAAACCAGACCGGCTGAAAATCGAAAAAAAATCTAAAAAAACCGTCAATTTTGTTTTTTTTTTTTAAATTAAACCAAACAACGTCTTTTGTTAAACGAGCCAAGTCGAACTCGAGTATTGTTGGGCTCAACTCGAACTTGAAAACTTTAAAAGTAAGCTCAACTCGACTCAAACTCACGAGCTAAAAATTATCAAGTTCAATTCGAACTCGAAATATAATATTGAAACTTGAACTCGAAAATGCTTGAACTCAAAAAAAATTTAGAAATTCGATTGAAGCCTAAAATTCGAGTTTGATTGAAGTGAAAGAATAATTCACTCAATGTTCACCAAAATGCTCCATGATTTTGAATGTCAAATTACCTCTATTATTTATAGAAGTTAGTTGCGATGCTCTTCTATGTTTCTTAGCCATGTGGGATTGTTTTGTTCTCATATTTTTACTCTTTAGACTTTTGGGATTCTCTTCTATATTTATTAGCCATGTGATATTGTTTTGTTCTCATATTTTTACTCTTTAGACTTTTGTGATGCTCTTCTATGTTTTTTAATCATATGGGATTGTTTTTTTAAAAAAAATTAAACCAAACAATATCATTTTGTTATGATTTTTTAGCCCCAAATTTATTTTTTAATTATAGTTATATAATTATATTTATTATTTAATATGTTTTACTTTAAATATTATGTTGTAGTTAATTTGAATTATTTTGTTTCACTTGATTTTATGGTTTTTAATTTATATATATTATGACTTGTTTTGAATATGACTTGTGATATAAAAAATATTTTTTATTAAATATTTTTGGTATTTTTATTTAATTTTTTAAATAATTATGACATCATCCTGTTCTTCTGATCGGTCGGATCGATTTAACCGGTTGAACCAGTGAACCGATAAATAACCGATTCACTAACCGGTCCGATTCTGAAAACCATGGTTTTATACGTACAAATCCAATCAACCAATTTGTGGATTATGTGATCAGAATTTTAAACATATACTCCATAGCTTTTGACTTCATCCATTTTTAATTTTACTCACTGCTCTCGTAAGTAAAAAAAATTAGTTGACCCTTATTCTTATATGTAATGGGATAAGAGGGAGGTAAGATAGTAAGTTGCCCTCAACGTCAGGTTGAGAGCACCTTCCGTGGGAGACCTCTAAATTATGAAATACCTTCCGTATGACTCGATCCCGCGACCTCAAGATTAAAAACTTTGTGCTCTACCAACTGAGCTGGATGGTCATTTCATAAGACTTGGAACAATTCATAAGACTTGAGACCGCTGTATTCTACACATATAAAACACGTACAAAATTAAATAACACTTGGCTTAAATATATATTGTATTTAAATTAATATTTTTAAAAAATATTCAAAAATTGGTTACTGGATTTAATTTCATATGTTATTTTAGTACTTTAATTAATAATGTTAACTTCTTATAAGATAATATTTTACAAAACTTTCTTAATTTATTGACAACACATACACATCTGGCATACGTAACTGTTCGAACTTAATACTTCTTAAAAAATAATATTTTCTTTTTACCACTGAATTATTTGATGGGTACACTTGAACTTCTGTTTTTCGTATGAATCTCGAATATCTCAAAAATATGTATTGATTTAAAGTTGAAGTTTCATGGATAAAGTACACAAATTGTCTATCGGCTATGAAATATTACTTTATTAAGTCCCTTGACTATTTAAAGTTACAAAATGGTCTCTCGACTATAGGGAGTATCTTTGTTAAGTCTCTCAACTATTAAAAGTTACAAAATAGTTACTCGACTATTCATTATGTTCCAAACTCGTCATTTTCAATTAAAAATTAACGGTCGTTTAAGTTGGACTTCAACATATTAATTGAAATGTGATAGCCTTTTGATATTATGATATAATATTATGAGATTACGAGTTTGGAACAAAATGAATAGTCGAGTGACCATTTTGTGACTTTTGATAGTCAATGGACTCAATAAAGCAACTCCCTATAGTTACAGGATTATTTTGAAACTTTTAACAGTCAAGAAACTTAATAAAACAATATTATATAGTCAAGAGACCATTTGTATACTTTAGCCAAATTTCATAATAGAATATTGTTGTAATAAAATAAAGTCATCAATAATCATTAATTTATTAATTAAAAGATTTATTTTAATGACAAATACACTAAGATATAAAATATATATACATGTTGTCTACTTTAGACCAAACAATGGTCTTGGCTTAATAATTGCTTGGCTTAATAATTTGATACATGTTTAGTTTCCTAAGAAATCAAGGTTTGAATATTTTTTGTCCGAATTTACTTTCCTTTGTTTTCTTTCAACCAGAGGGTGACACATACCACTTTATGATTGGTGGAAATAAATATATTAAATTAAAATAAAGTTAGTCCTCGAACCGAATGGTGATATGTGGCATGATTTGATTGGATGATTAAATTTATTTTAATTTATTAAAAGTATAACTAAATTGAGAAAATATGTAAATAACACGGACCAAAGCGTGATTATATCAAAATATTCAACTGCCTTTAACGATAATTAACTCGGGGTGACCACATCTTAATTAAATAAAAACGAAAGTAACCATATCTTATATTTTTTTTAAATCAATAACCAAAAGTGAACAAAGCACAAACATAAGTGATCATCTGTGTAGTTAACCCTACCTTTAATAAAAATACTAAAAAGGAGAATG